AAAAGTCGCAATAACCTTTTTTTATTTTTTATTCAGTGGCAGAAACGGGCTTCCATACTTTTGCATCTGAACTCTTCATATATATATATATATATCATTTGTATTATTTCTTTGTCCTTACAGCTCCCATGAGGAACGAGTCCCTGCAGGATCAGGATGAAATGCAGATTGTTTTCCGTGTCACTGAGCGTCAACATGGCGATTCCTCCCATCCCAGAATGCACCTCGTCAGACGTCAGGATCGCACTGAAGGTTTCTGTCAGACAAACCGCAGCAAATGAGGCTAAACGTCTAAACACACGTCAAGCTATGAAAGGGATCGAGTGTAAGGTTCGACACGCACCTGCGAACAGCGCTCGGTGTTTGATGACTTTGCCCTGTAGTTTCTTATTTTCATTTTATATTTATTAAACACATTTTAATATTTTCTGTTGTCATTTTAACTTTAGTTGAATTTTGTGGTTTTGTTATTAATTAGTTTTTCCTTCATTTTTATTTTATTTTATTTTTCTTCATTTTTATTATTTTTATTTTATATTTACTAAACACATTTTAATATTTTCTGTTGTCATTTTAATTTTAGTTGAATTTTGTGTTTTTGTTATTAATTTGTTTTTTCTTCATTTTTATTTTATTTTTCTTAATTTTCCCATTTTTATTTTATATTTATTAAACACGTTTTAATATTTTGTTTTCATATATAAGTTTTTTTGTATTTTTTTTTTTCCATGTAAATAGCTAAATGTTATTTCAATGGTTTTAGTTAACGATAATAACTCACCATGTCTGTATCCACCCGCGGTACTCTGAACTCAAAGGCCGTGTTTCCATCGGAGTCCAGGAACGTGATGACGCTCGGCCTGTTCATCCTAAGAGACAAGCACATGCGTGAAGTGAGCGACAGAGGATTGTGTTTGACATCACATCTGCTCTGGCGTGAGTTTTACCTCTGGAGCGTGATGGAGAAGGTCAGGCTCGTTCGAGCGAGTGTGAATCTGGCCCGTGCGACGCCGCTGGAGCTCGGCAGCCACGAGTCCGTCACACCCGTGAGTACAGCCACAAAATCTGTTCAACAATACCTCAGGTTAATCATACTGTCGTTGTGACCCGGAAGAAATGCATAAACATTTCTAAACAATGCATAGTTTTTAGTAAGGGAACGAAACTTTGCAGATGCTTTAAGACCTTCAAAATACACATCATTTATTTTTTTCAGATTTTTTATAATTATTTTTTAAGAGATATAACCATTTAAATAAACATTTCGCGGTCGGGTCATTTTGACCCGGGTATGTATAGAGCATTTGGTATAAGAATATTTGGTATAAGAAATTTTATTGTTAAACGATCTATGGAGTTATATTGGTGCCAAAAACTTTTGTAAAATATATTTACTGTAGCCTTTTCCCCAAATCTCTCACACTTTTGGGACTGAATTTTGTTAATAAACATGAATATGTGCGCCTATTGATGAACCACTACAGCATGTAAAATCACTTTCTTTCACCTGAAACTAAAATTTATGCAAGTAAAATAAGTTTATATTGTTTCAAAACTTTTCAGAGTGATATTTGTTGTTTTGTTAGAAATAAATATGTAGGTTTCCTAAATTTGGACTGTTCAAAGAATTTATTTAAATTCCATTGATTCCAATGGGGTCAACACTGGTAATTCTCAGATTATATGCTGTTATAAATTTCATACAATTATATATTACAATAAATGTTCTTAAGAATATTGAAAAAAAATATATATAAATTTTGCATTATAGTTTTTTTCAGTATGGTTCATGTGTAATTTGAAATTTCGAAGAATTTCTCAATTTTTTAATTGAGTAAAAATTAGTAAATGCCGTAATAACATGGTAACATTCAAAACTCATTAATGAGAAGTTGCTGATCAGATTCAGTGTGGTTTCAGTTGAAAAATATTAAGTGATGACCATTTTGAACAGATGGTGAATGCATTATGAGGAGTGTCTGGAGTCTCACCGGTGGCGCTGTCTCGGTTGCTGTTCTCTTCAGAGCTGATGTAGGATCTGTCGTTGTAGGACTTGTGAAGGTCGTCGTCTTTCTCCTGGAAGAACTCAAACAGAGACTCCGCCTCCTTTCTCCCCGAGTCGCCTGTAACCACGGAAACCGAAATGCATGATGTCAGAAAAATCGTAGAATGCACAATAGATCCAATGTTCTACACGGACCGGCATCCATAAACATGAGTGCAATTATGCCAAACCAGATCATCTGTCCGCACTTGCTGCCATTTATCATTCAGTTTGTCTGCGAGAAACAGCGCTGGCCAGAAGTTTCCGTCATTCCCTCACACTTTTTTCCTGTATAACAGTGTGACGGCATTCCAAAAAAAACGCTGGACTGTGTTTCCATTTGTTCACCATTTGCAGAAACACACTCACACACTCAGACGTCTGCATCTGTGTGTTACCTTTTGGGCATGTTTTGAACAGTTTAAAAATTATAATTTAAAATAATATACAATTTAAAATGAATGTTGCATCTCATATGACAAATATATTTCAAAATATACAAAAAATATAAAAATATAAAATTCGTATAGAATAAAAGTAATATTTAAAAAATAATAGTAAAAATAATTATTTAAAATAATATACAATTTTAAATTAATGTTGCATCCCATGTGACAAAAAATTACATTTTTCTAAACATATAAAAGATATGTTAAAATATTAAATTTATATAAAATCATATCAAAACATTATTTTTTTTTTTACATATATTTAAAATGTTTCAAAGGATATAAAATACCAATATATATTTTTTTAAATAGTTTTTTTTTATGATAAAATATCATTAGAATTTTTAAAGTATTTAAACATATATTTTGCATGTTTAAATAAAAACAAAATACATTCACATTTGAAGAAAAACTATTTTTTTGTCTAGAACAACACCACACTCTCAGTGTTGAAAGCTTCCTCAGTTATGAAATGCAGTGTGTGTTTGAGGTCTTACCGGCTCGCAGTGACACATAACGCAGTGCATCACACCGAATGGCTCTCCGAGATCTGGATGCCATGTGTCTTCCAGTGAGTAAAAGCGGCCACCGAAGGAGCAACCTGATTGAGACAATAAACAAGAGCAGCGTGAGACCTCAAGGCGTTTACTGAGAGCCCGAGGACGGGGAATGTGTACAAATCAGCTTCAAACGGCCCATTCTGAGCCAAACCTTCAGGAACACCAACTAAAACGAGCAGCCAGTGTCACTTCTTCCCTCCTAACGTCTAACATCTCCACTGCTTTGTTTTGAAGAGAGAATGAGAGATTCGAGTAAATTTGCCGTTTATTGCATCTGGAATGAGGTCAGTGATCATCAGTTGCAGTTCACGTCCTCCTTTTATAGAGCGAGACTATTAAACAATTTATTGTTAAGCTAAACACTTTCAAAGACACGCACGTATACCGTCATAAACGGAGGTAAATCATAATAAATGCCTTCGACCGCTGCGTGTGCCATTGCATCAAAGTCTCTGTGGTAAGTCATAGTGTTTATCTGGTTCTTTTGGAGATTATTAAAGTTCTTAGTGTCTAAAACACCAGATGCATTGATGGTTTTCTAAAGAACTAGAGGATGGAGTTATTTGTGAAGGTTTTTGGCTTTAATTTCAATCTTATTCTGACCAAAAGAGTTTTTTTTCATATGCACTCATTAGAACCAAAAATAAAGGTTCTAATAGGAATCCAATTGGGTTTTATTGCATCTGGTGCTTTAAAGAGTTGAAGATCCAGTAATGAAACATCAAAACAAGCCTCCAAAGAACCAACTCAGTTCTTAATAAGAACCATGTATATGATTCCACAGTTGAGTTACTGTATATTGCTCTTTGGAGATTAAAATACTGTTAAATTATGTTGGTTCTATCCAAAACATGTCTCTTAACATATTATTAAAGTTCTTCAGATCAGTGTTTTGGTGTCTCTGGTTCTTTAAAACACCAGATGCATTGATGGTTTTCTAAAAAAACAACAACAACTAGAGAATGAAGTTGTTTGTGGAGGCTTTTGGCTCTAAATACAACCAAACCCCAAGCAAAACCTCCTTACTCTGATCAAAAGAAGAGTTTTTCTTCATCTGCACACATTAGAACCAAAAAAAATAAAGGTTCCAATTGGAATCCAAATGGTTTTATTGCATCTGGTGCTTTAAAGAGTTGACGATCCAATGATGAAACGTCAAAACATACATTAAAGCATCAGATGCATTGATGGTTTTCTAAAGAACTAGAGAATTAAGTTATTTGTGGAGGTTTTTGGCTCTAATTGCAACCTTATACTGATCAAAAGAAGAGTTTTTCTTCATATGCACACCAAAAATAAAGGTTCTAATTGGAATCCAATTGCATCTGGTGCTTTAAAGAGTCTAATAATGAAACATCAAAACATACTTAGTCCCCAAACAACCACAGCAGCAACTCAACAACGCTTCTGGATGAAGACCATGTATAGGGTTCTTCAGTTGAGTTAAATCGCTCTTTGGAGATTAAAATGCTTACCGGATAAGCCTTTAGATATCATGGGTTCCCTCTCGGGTTGGATGGGTAACGCGGGGGTCTTGAGTCTCGAGCCCAGAGCCGATGCGATGAAAGCGCAGCCCAGAATCCACAGCACTCGCGGCGCGTCCATCCCTCAGAAACTCTCCGAACTCTTCCTCTGCGCCAAAACAACGCAATTCAACGCTGACACAGACAACACAACCCAAATAAACAGTGAGGTTCTCCTCGATGTGTCTCGGTGAATGCGAGTCGTGCTCCTCACACTGATGTCTGATGTCGCGTCAGCGCGCACTGATTGTGCGCCGTTTGCGGCTCCCGGTTTTATCCGGTGCTCGTGAGGAGGGCCGGAGGGGGCGGGTCCTCAGATGCCCCAAAAACTTCACCTGCGAATACCAACCGTTTAATACACACCCACAAACACATATGAATGATCTGAATCACTTTACACAGTTC